GTAATGTCAGATTACTTTTCTTAGGGAATTAATTATTATTAATTAATTCAGGTTTTGAGAGGACTTGAATCTGAAAATTCGGAGTCAACCTGATTAGAACTGATTTCAAATTTGATAGTTTACACTTTATCAACGGTCATCCAGCGAAACGTTAACGTCCGTGTATATTACCGATTCTGTTCATATTACTTCGTGGCCAACGACACATAAACAAAATGGTAATCTTATTAATTTTGAGCAAGGTAACAAGGATCTAGGCAGAGTTTTAACTTTAAAAATGTCAGGACACCAGACAATACTTCTTGAATTTATTGAATTTTATAGAATTTATTGGCTATTCTAGATTACATTAAACTAAGCTAAAACACACACATACACACACAGACACACACACACACACACACTCACATGTGTGATTCATACCGTGAAGGACTGCTTGAGGGAATTCCGTTGCTGATTGGCTGCTGAGATGACGTCGGGATGGCATCCTTTTGGGGAGCCCTCGGTGGCGATTGGTTGGTTGCCGGGTTACGGAGGAGCCTAGCAGTTCTTCTGAGAGAGTCTGATTTGGCAAGACTTTGAGTTCTGCAGTGATTGTCTGTTGAAATCATCCTGGTGAGTTTAGCTTATTCCTTTGTCTCTCCAAGAGAAGGCGCGTTTTCTTGGAATTTCGAGGAAGGGGGAGCACAGAGAAAACCCTGAGGTCAAGGAGGTTGTCAAAAGGCCCTGGTCATGGACCTGCTATTCTTCTCGCTGGACATGGAGCTATTAATCTGTCGCTTTTTGTTTATCGGATTATCAATTTAGGCGTTTAACGGTCATGGGGTCCGGGAGTGTCTGTCGCTGGAACATTTCCAGATACCAGGTTCTTTGTTCTGTGGTTTATTAGATGGTTTATTTATGCTGAAGCCAGTCACGAGACAACACTGAAGTTCTGTTGCTTAAATGAGTCCAGATGCAGGGGTCAGTTATTGCTGTCTCAGTGCTTGCAGACCCAGGGAGGTGAAATAAAAAACTAGCAAAACGAGTTGCGCGGTGTCCCCACCACTTTTCATAGCAAAGTTACACCACTGGCTATGACCCTACCAATATCCAGCGACTACTAACTATCACTTATATCACTCATTCATATTGTTCTATCCATCTTTCATTCTGTCCATCGTTCTATATATTGTTTGTTCTATTGTTCATTCCATCCATCCAACTGTCATTCTATCATTCTATCTTTCCATCTATCTTTCTGTCATACTGATCTATTGATCTATCCATCAATCGTTCTATATTTTGTTTGTTCATTCCATCCGTCCATCCTTCTGTCTGTCATTCTATCATTCTATCTTTCTGTCTTTCTATTGTTCTATCCTGTTCTATCTATATTATTTGATCTTTTGTTCCTTCCTTCCATCCATCCATCCATGCATCCGTCTATCTATCTGTCATTCTATTATTCTATCATTCTATCTATTGTTACAAAGTTAGATATCAGTACAGTCACAGGAACTGTAAATGTGAGCAGTGGCACATATGATTAGAAACGATCAGTCGAGCTCAGATTGAGGTTCAGATGTCTGGCTGGCTGTCGTGGACAGCACAGTGTGTTGGCAGACACTCACTTCACACACACACACTGCTGATTTGACCTAAACAACAGGACAAACAGAGGATAAAAACTAGTGAAACAGATTCAGATAGGGAACTCAGCATCTCCCCAGGTCATCAATCACCCCTTATGGAGTTTAAATAAGAGACCTGTGGGTTACCAGAATAGAGCTGCAACTGTTTCTACCTCCCAACACGTTGGTCACTACTGTATGAGTTCATTTAAATACTGCACCGCTCATTTTAATACTGTACTAGATCAGTAGCACTTGTCTTATATATTGCTGTTCTCATTGCCTCTCTTCTCCTTTGCTGCATCTTCTTGGCTTATTGCCTTGCTCTTATCTGCCTGTATCTCATGGATTTTAGCTTGCAGTCTCAGATAAGAACAGATAAGCGTTAATCCACAGAAAGATAGCAGAGTGAGCAGGTGGAGAGGAAGATAACCTCAGGCCTTGAGCTCTAATTCTTCAGTAATTGGAGGACTACTGCGCTCTTAGCTGTTCTAATGCTAGCCGAAGCAAAGCCCGTCTATGATCTCCACATGGACCTCTAAGAACTAAGAGTTGGATTTTTCACATCATAGATGCTGCAATAGAATGATGAAAAGATGCAATGATCTATAGACTAAT